GCTTGCGGCCGAGGCTCAGTAATTAAAAGAAACTGGTTATCACATTACAACAAAAGATCCACGATTTTATATGATAAAGCCGAGGTCGCTTGCGGCCGAGGCTCAGTAATTAAAAGAAACTGGTTATCACACTACAACAAAAGATCCACGACTTCACCTGATAAAGCCGAGGTCGCTTGCGGCTGAGGCAGAGTGATTAATAACATATCAACCTAAAACTAATTATCATATTACATCAAAAGATCCATGACTTCACCTGATAAAGCCGAGGTCGCTTGCGGCCGAGGCTCAGTGATTAAAAGAAACTGGTTATCATATTACAACAAAAGATCCACGAGACATCACCTGGTAAAGCCGAGGTCGCTTGCGGCTGAGGCAGAATGATTAATACCATATCAACCTAAAACTATCATATTACATCAAAAGATCCACGACTTCACCTGATAAAGCCGAGGTCGCTTGCGGCCGAGGCTCAGTGATTAAAAAAAACTGTTTACCACATTACAACAAAAGATCCACGACTTCACCTGGTAATGCCGAGGTCGCTTGCGGCTGAGGCACAATGATTTATACCATATCAACCTAAAATTATCATATTACATCAAAATATCCACGACTTCACCTGATAAAGCCGAGGTCGCTTGCGGCTGAGGCAGAGTGATGAATAACATATCAACTTAAAACTAATCATCATATTACATCATAAGACATATTTCTTATCAATATATATCATATCAACCTAATTCTGGTTATCGTATTGCATCGCCTCTGTCGCAAGCGACTTTGGCTTTATTAGATCAACCTGAAACTGGTCATTATTTTGCAGCGCTTCAATGATTTATACCGAGGTTCAGTAATTAATACCATGTCAACTTGAAACTCGTCATCCTCTTGCAGTACATTGGCCGCTAGCAGCTTCGTCTTTATCAAGTGAAGTTAGACCGAGTACTAGATCTTTAGACTGAGTAAGTTGAAGTCATTTGCGGTTGAGATTGTAATAAATATCATATTAACCCGTAACTGCACATTATGTAGCAGTGCCTCGTCCAGAAATTACCTCGACTAAGTGAAAAATGTAGTTTAACCTAACTAATCCGAAGTTGTTTGCTATATAGCCCAAAAAAAGTGTCTCAGAGCAGTCTTTGGATTGAACCCCAGAGATTCATGTAAACCTATATTCGAACATTACAAAATTTTAACATTACCATCGTTATTAATTTTAGAAACTGTTATACAGAGTGTCTCAGCGAGACCGGTCATTTGAGATCTCTGATTTTTTGAACAAATGTCTGCTGGAGCAGATTTTTCTAGAAAAATTCGAATAGCTCGAGAACGACCGAATCAAATTTATATTTAACGCGGGGCGTTGAGCGGTCTTACCTAGTGGCACCGAAAACCCAGTATAGTACAACCATATTCCAGATGATTTAAAAACGAAACCCTAGAATTTTGCTCGATGAAGCTGAAGTTACATGCTGCCGAGAGTCTATTGCGGCAATTCAGAACAAAAATCTACAATTTTTGTAACTATCTCATAAATTGTTTGTTAATTCAAGAGTTTGCTTGGGGCTTAAGTATTGTAATATGATGATAAGTTTTTGGCCAAGACACCATAATTAATTATACACTTTATATACTCTTGCTCTAAGTTTAGGAGCACTTAGAATAGAGAATGTATTCTTGATTGAAATGATTTCGTAATTCGTTTAGCTCAGATTGCTTTCAACTGATCCATATGATGTACTTTAAGAGTAATTAGTTAATTTAAAAACTTTAATTTGGTAAATTTTATAAACATAAATTGCATTAAACACTTACCATCACTTTTCTCTTAATCAAAGTGACGTAATAAATAATTTAAAACTTATCAAGAAAATATAAACGCACAAAAATCATTTTTTCTTCACTTATTTTTTTCTTTTCCGGGGATAAAATAAAACGTTCCGCGCATGCCATCTCGCGATTATCATTAACAGCCTGACACATACAGATTGGTTCCAATTCACCCCCTGAAATTTTCAGCGTCGTTCACTTTTTGCTTTCAACTCAAAACGGGTCAGACTTGCGATACATCTACCAGTTTTACTTTTTATTAATGCGTTAATTACCCATAAAGAACGAGAACGCGACACGCGATCCACTTTTTATTATTCGAATCTTTTTTTTTAAAAAAAGCACGTTTAATTTCATTACTTTGTTGAGTTGATAGCTACTCACAATCAGTTTTTCTTGGGGGAGATAAAAAAAAGTTGAAGGGAAAATCGCACCTGGTTATAAATCAAACGAAATCAAGTAGAAACCAAGTAAAATCGAAAAAGAAGTATTATTGTTCTCGATAATCCTTCCGGAACGCCCGCATATTTTTTTCCAAATCGATGGAGACGAGACGAGATGAGGCATCTCTTCGTTGGGGGCTTTTAGACCACAAGAGTCTGTCGAAAGCGCCTTTTCAGGTTTATCGGCTAGATAATCTTTTGTTGGATTAGGGACGATCGAAGATATTACGTGATATTTATCTGTTAGGGAGTTTTATTTTCATTTGAGCACCTCTCAAAATCTAATCGATAAATATAACGATTAATGAATAAAATAAAAATATGTTCCAAGTAAAACATAGCAAAATAAGATTTTTTTAACGAGAAACACGGAATAACATCAGAGATAAAAGAATGAAAATATAAGGGGGGTTGTTGGAAGATTGGCGAGGTCGAATCTATAAAAGAAACATAAAGCGCGGCATCGGGTGACCCTTAGTGGCTATACTCTCGTGGCGCAAAGGACCTAAAACAACATTGTTGCCGGACGAATGGTGCCTTGTTGACACACACTTCCCCATCGTGAATGTTGATTCAACCGGTTCCCCAACGACAGCGTTCTATGTCCATTCAGTGTGGGTTCAATTGAACTCCAAGTCCATTCTCCCCAGTTTAACAAGGACTATTCGTTTACTTTGTGATTGCAAAACCCTTAATAATAACAACTTTGAATCGTTTATTTTTTTTTTAACTTTTCTAATAAACGAAAAATGTCATCCTTTTTAAAATCGAACTTAAATTTATTACGATTTACGACTGAGTGTACTTGGAATATCCCTTAAGACATTTCAATTTAGCGGAGATCAGACACGTCTCATAAAACAATCCAAAACTTGGCGCATTTAGACTACGGGTGCTTCCGTTTAAGTTATAGTTTCATTTCGTACGCGCTCAAACAAGATCTCTCCGAAAGCTTTATTAAATCGTTTGGGAAGGGGCGAAATCCATCACGAATTTATTAGTTTTGTTATCAAAGTATAAATATCACTTTCATATCATGGACTTCGTTAGAACGGACGTCGTATATAACGGACTAAAGTATCTATTATCTTTTAATATTTCAGTATATTTAAATCTAAATGTTAGTGATTATATAATGTGTTAATTAATTATCGTACCTGACGTCATCATTGGAACTATGCAACCAATATCACAGTATACGCGATTTGCGTATTGCAATACCAATACTGTGATATTGGTTGCATACTTGCAATGATGACGTCGGATAGGATCATATATATATACTATCTCCTATATCGTTGGCTCCCTATCTAAGCAATGAGAAGAGTGCGTTTCCATCAAAGGCAGACGGAATGATATATTGTCTGTCTTTGATGGAAATTTTAAAGAGTTTGCGCGTATTTTATGCAGCTTTAAAATGCAATTATTGTAGATGATTTACTTTAATTATAAATTATCATTGATGCATCAAATAAATTAGAATATATGTACTTTTGTGTGAAATTGAGGTTGAATATTGCTTTAAATATCAACTTTATCTAGGTTGTTCATTAATCATTATATTCTTTAAAGATTAAATTAATACATACACAGTAATTATTAAATATGTGTACCAAATTATAGTTATTAATTTTTAACCTCACGCTAATATGTACTTAGGTAGTTTCTTAACAAATAATAATTACATTTTAAGTTGCATGTCAAAATTAACGTTGAATTTAAGTTTTTTAATGAAAAACACATAATTTGATTTAATGATTGTATTTAATTCAAAATGGGTCAACTTTAAAATGTCAACTTTAATTTTATTATTATATTCGTAGTCTTTATAAAAAAAGTTCGAACTTTCAACTTTTAATTTTGACATATTTGTCAACTTCATAAAAAATCCTTTAAAATGAATCCAAACTCGACATATTTAACTTTAATATTAACGGAAATACAATCACTTCCGGTTTGAAACGTCAATTTTGACATATTTGTCATCTTCATTAAAAAACCTTTAAAATGAGTCCAAAGACGACGCACTTATCTCAAAAAACAAAAAGTTTGAATAAAAAACGTTAAACCCGAAGTTAGCAACAATTTAATTTTTAAATATTAATACCAACCTTATTTTTTTTTATGATATTTTTGTTTTTGTGACAAATATTAAGACATTTTATAAAAATTAAGAATATGTCAAAATTGACGTTGACATTTGTAACCGAAAGTTGGTCATAACTTTATTAATATTGAAGATAAATATGTCGTGTTTGTACTCGTTTTAAAGGATTTTTAATGAACATTACAAATATGTCAAAATTGAGGTTGACATTTTAAATCTGAAGTTAGTTATCATATAATAGACAAATGGATAACTTCATGGTGTTCATTTATGATGTATTTTTGATAAAAAAAAAACATTAAAATGAGTCCAAACATGATGTTGCTAGATATCACTATGTTGTATATTTTAAGTAATTAAGAAATCCGAATGTTTCTAGTTCTAGGTTTAATGTTAGTTCTAGTTTTAATTGTTATTGAGTGAAGTGAAGTTTATCGCAAGTCTCTACAATAAGTAGTTTCCGAGATACAGTACTTTGCACGCTTATTTGGCCACCCTGTACATCTTTTGACTAATTAAGTGATTAATGTTATATCAACCTCAAATTGTATATTATCTATATTATCTAAATATTTCTTTTTTGATTATTTTATACAATCTGATTTTCTTTTTTTTAGGTTTTCGTGCTTCAACACGTTATGACAAGTTCATAGCCAGGTTGTAGCTATTTTTAAGAACTACTCATGATTCTCCATTAAGCAGTAAGTGTTTCTTATTCATTATTTTTGTCAATTTTTAAACGTTTTGTTAACGCATTACCGACTATGATTTAAATCACAATTTAAAAAATCAACCCATCTAAAAAGTCAATCGTTCGAATTGCAATATACGATTTGCGTATTGCAACACCAATACTGTGATATTGGTTGCATACTTGCACTGATGACGTCGAGTACGATAATTAATTAACACACTGTATATGAAATGAGTTAAAGCATTATATATAACCTAAACAAAATATTAAATATCATTTAATAAGTTTTTGATTTAAAAACTAAACTATGTTCGGAAGATCGCAACGTCGTTTATTCGTCGTAATGAAGAATGATTGATGTCGCCCCCTAAAAGCTCCGGATGGTGTCTCCTACTGTCAACGAATACACTTAATAAAGATAAATTGATCGTCCCCCCTTCGTATATTTTCGACTACGCACTTCGTTGACAAAGTGTTCGTCACATATCGGACACAACTTTTGATTTATGAATTATTTTTATCATCAAAGACTCAAAATATCTGAGATAATCGAATAGTTAGAGAATACGTCCATTAGATAGGTAGGAGTACTTCAAAGGAATAAAACGAGAGATCCTTCAATATTACATCGCAGCGAAAAGCGGGTGCGCGAAATTCAACCTGCATATTTAAACGTTAAACGATGACACAAATTCGATGGGTTGGGGTTACCACCCATCTCGTCGGGTTTATTTCCGCGTAGTGAAATATTAAAACTGACGATGAGGCGACCGTCTCCGTACAAAGGAGCCGGCCTCTTTCTTTAACGGGGGGGAGTTGAAAAATTCACCGCTGCGCGCATTCTTTATTTTCACCCTTCGCTACATTTTAGAGTCATCAATCTGTCGCGGACGTTGAGCCAGGTTTCTCTATTCTGATGTTAAGGTAAATCTGACAATGGGGGCTGCTTTCGGTTCTCGGGGGTGGCGATGGATTACTGACCCTTAACCTTAACGCATTTACATCGAAATCCAATTCGACCCAACTGTACTTAAAAATTTTATTATTGATTAGACAAATTAATGGTGAATGAGTTCTCGATAATTCAAGTACTCGTAAATCTCTGTACCACTCTATTATATAATAACTTATATTGTAACTATGTGTTATTATTAAAAGGGAAATTTGTGCTGGATATATACCGTGACAACAAGTAATTGCAGCATGAATAATTCACACAACGAAAAGAGGGTGCGTGCGAGTACCTTTTAATACACGGTATCAATAAATAATCGTCCCCGTGCCAACAAGTAACATAAATACTTCGGTTACGACGCGTGTATCGCAATTATTATTAGTTCTCGTGTCGTATGTAACTATATCAACGCGGCCAACCCTTAAGTAGACCTTTGAGTTTGTTCTTTTAAAAACTGTTAACCATCTCACGTATAAACGCCTCTATTATAACCCACATTTAAATGTAACTTAGTTTTTGTGTAAAAAAAAAGTTTTACTTTGTAAGGGATCATATTAAAGCGTCGAAGTGAGGAAGTTGGCCCGTTTGTATGTGGTTCACGTAGCCAGATATTAGAGGTGATTAAAGAACCTAAGGGGAAAGGCGCCAACGTGCTGAAGTAAATGATTTATCCTCCGCTTCAGAGTTATATTAATCGCGAGATTTGTCACCCCAGAAACTGTGCCGGAATTTGTCGTATTAAATGCAGGTGGTTTTGAAACAACCCCTCATTTCCACCCTAATACCCAGAGTAAACTCAAAATATTTTCAAACTTATTTAACATAAAAGCGAAACAATAAAAAATTTTATACAGTAAAAATCAAAAGTTTTAATGCAAAGGGGCCGTTCGTGACGTCACGCATGGGTAGGCAACTAATATTTCACATTTTGAATTTGTCATGTTGTTAGTTTGAAACTTAATAAAGTTCACAATATAAAAGAAAAATCTTGATCAAGTTTACAACAATTTACCACTAAATAACAATTAAAATTAGAACTAACATTAGACCTAGAACTAGAAACATTCGGATTTAGCCATATATCTCTTAAGACGGCTAAACTCAAATGGTTCTAGTTCTAGATCTAGTGTTAGTTCTAGTTTTACACTAGCACTATCACTAGAACTAACACTAGACCAAGAACTAGAAACATTCGGGTTTAGCCGAACGTCTTTTAAGACGGCTAAAACCGAATATTTCTAGATCTAGCTCTAGTGTTAGTTCTAGTGATATAAAAATAAACATAAAATCGGGTTTAGCCATACATGTGAAGACGAACTGCATTCAAAATGTTTATGTACAGGGTGGTTCAAATTCGATGTCCGAATAGGCTAACTCGAAAACTATAAGAGTTAGAAGAAAAGTAGCTGACATGTCATGATCTCGTTTTTCGAGAAATTGCTAATGCCGAAACCCTCATAGTGCTATCGTCTTTTGTTTTTCCGCTAGAGGCCAAAAGTGAAAATATCGTAAAACCTGCAAATGTAATTATCTTGGTTATTATTATAGGTGGAGTATTATAACTAAGACATTATATGGACACTTTTTTACAGAGAATTTGATGACGTAGTCAAAAAAAAATTTTCGGTCTTAGATTTTAAGATATTAAGACAATTTTCGTTTTTTTAAATGGAAACAACCTCTTCGCTTATTAAATTCGTTATTTTTTTCTGATTACAAAAATATAGGGTTCGACAGGTCTATTTCTTATTGTTTTAGAATAAAGCCAAAAATAAACTTTTTTTTTAAATTTCCATCTAGTGTCATCGACGAAATTAAATTTACAGTTTCCTGTAAATTATGGTACTATAACTAAAAATTAAAAAAACAAATTTCTGATGTTTGAAACAAATAAATTTGTTGAACTATTTAATTTATATATGTT